AGTGAAGCAGTTGGCGTGAGCTTAAATGGACTCGGGGGGGGGATGGTGGAGGACAGGAAGGCTTGGAGGAATGTTGTCCATGGGGTCGCGATGGGTTGGACACAACTTCGTGACTAACAACTGCAACAATCTGTGACTCATACAACACCATCAGACCATTACTTTTAACCCACATTCCAAGAAAGTGGGAAGAATAGAACAACAATAGAACAAGGTGTCTCGATTTTCTTCATACATAAATTACTGGGTTCCAGCACTGATTCTGGGCAGCCAAACAGGGCCAGATAAGCGCTGCTCGCCAGTGCCCTGCCTGGAAGCTCCTAGATTGAGAGTTCCTGTACACCAGCAGGTCCAGACACTGCCAGCACTACACTTTACTAATATTTATGGACATCATTGTTAGGCTCTTAAATAACTGCTACTGACTAAGGAGCAGAGAAGTGAGATAAGTGCTGCACAGATGATTTTATATATTTATTTTAATTGTTTTATCTTGAGAATGAGGATTGGAGTACTGGATCATTGCCCTTCCTGCCCTTAGAAACAAACCTTCCCTTTGTATACAAAGATGCTGTCCAGCTTCTGGTGCACCCTGTAAAGCCAGAGGTAGGCAACATGGTGCCCATGGGCAACCATGTGTCCTCAATACCATTCTTGGTGTTTTCTGTATTTTGCCATATTTTACAAAGAATACAGAAGAAAGCATTACACTCCTTAAACAGTTTTGGTGCTTGTTTGTTTTGAAATTAGTTACTATCATTGAAGTATTTCTATTAACTGTAGATGCAATAACAGTTTTCCAACAGTTATTGTTCTTATTTTGAGGAAGATTGAAGATATATTGATGTACTCACTTTTTTGCTATTTGTGCCAGCAGAATATTTGAGTGGGTAATGTTTGATTGTTCATTTTTAGTAATTTTGTGTGTTTTATATAGATGTTATAGTTTGTTTATTTGTTTGTTTGTTTATTTGGAACACTTATATGATAGGTCGCATTTGGCCACTTCTAACTTGGCATAATAAGTACTTAAATAGAGGTATGGCCTCAAATATTACAAAATGTTTCTATCCTTGGAAAAAGATTACACATGAATGTATGTAGATTCGTTTCTTGTTTTGTTTTTGTTTTGTTTTTTTGTTTCTCCCAATTTTCCCACTCATATAAAACATAATGTTCATGAGGTCTGGAAACATTTTATGTGAAAGCTTGTTCTAAGATGTTTTACAAAAATGCATCCACCAGGATACTGACCACCAGGATGCATCAGGTGGTAACAGAAAAAAATTCCCCTGTTGAACAAAATGTCCTGTGTTAAACATGGAGACAGCGTGTACTTAACATTTATTTAGTGCTCACTGTATGATTCTTCATATTCAGTAACTTTCCCTGTGTAAAATATATGGTTTGTGAATATTTTTCAACATGTTCATTCCATAAATTCATGTGCACTGTTATTGATGTTCTATTTTATATGCCCAAAAGTTTTTAGTGTGCCTCTTGTAAAACTGAACAACAGGATTTAATATACAGTTGCATTCACAGAACATTTCTAAATTGCGCACTTCAGATATGAGCATATCTAAAGTCAGGTTGCCTATGCTATAAATCAGTATTAATTAAATCACCTAAGTATCAGTAAAGGTGACTGTGTAATCTGGACCATTGCAATTTTGACATTGGGAACATTATGTTCGAGAGCTGTCTTGCTTCAAAAGCCTGTATATCAATCTAGCCCAGTTTCAGTCTGACATTTGCTAGTGTAGCAGGCAGAACCGTGAAGAGGGAGACAGATTAGCAAGCAACAGATGTGGACAGGGATGCTGTGTTTATCTTAGAGAACTGTCATTTAGCAATAATGCTTCAAACAGAAGCTGTATCTTAGAAATGAAGACCTTAGTGTAATTTTAAAAGTATCATAAATCACATGTAAATGGAATGAAAAGGTTTAGAGAACCTTATCCACTTTCAAAGGGCATGAAGAAGCATACAACAAGTTATCAACTGCAGTCAGTGCAATATGTTTTCTTCTGAGAATTCCAAGGGTAAATACAAAGAAAATACAGATGTTTAAGATTAAGTAAAGATGCCCTATAGCAGTTAGATGTAGAACATCAACAAAGAGCAAGGCTTGCTTAGTTTTAATTATTTCTAGAACAATATTACTAGAAAATGAAATGTTTCATAACAGTTTTCCTATTATTTGTTTTCATCATTTCACTCAACATGGTGGTTTAGATTAATGATTGAAGTGTTGGGTTCAAATTTCCAGTGCTGAAGCCTTCTAAGCGTCCTTGGACCAGTCATTCTCACTCAGCCTAACCTTTTCTATAGCATAGTTGTGTTTTTTTTCCCAGAGTGTTGGAAAGTGTGTTTGTGGGGTGGGGGAACAGTCTGCCTTAATCTGATCACTCTGATTAGAGATCATTTACTTCAAACTGTACATATATTTAGGGCAGAGTTCCATTAGAAGAAGCATTGCTTTTGCAAATTTCCGCACAGTAAGCTGCTTTTCTCTGCTAGATTCCAGTTGTATGGTTTTGCAAAAATTAAGAAAATGTTGGCTTGTAAATATGTGTGATATATTCAGCAAAAGGTACTGCACAGGTCATGGTACCACCCGAGCTGCACAAACATTCTTCCATGTATCGGTTCTATTTAAAATTGAAGTGAAATAATCTATTAGATTACCAAATAACAGTTTACCAAATATTATTTTACCATGTGACCCAAAATATCTCTGGCTGCCTCTTACACATGGCAGTTTGGGGAATATATAAGTTTCCTGACTCAAAAGCAGCATAGATGTTAGTGAAACTTCTGCAAACACCAATGAGAAAAATAGGATGACTATTTCAGCTTGAACCTGCACAAAAATGATAGAATAATTCCTCATCATTCAGGACCACTAATGCAGATACATCTAAGAACATTTGTAGGTGACAGGATGGCAGTATTTGTAGTAGGAAACTATGAACTGAATATTAACTCAGAGTAAAACATGCTTGGTAGATATAAAAAGCTCCTCTGGAACTTAGCCTTCCTGGAAAATGTATGTGGTCAGGATTTTTTCCCAAAGGCTAAAAAGAGCAGAACTTTTACAAACCTTTAAATATGTTGAATTAGAGACAGAGTTAAAAATAGCACATCCTAGGGACTAGATGTGATTGCTGTGTAATATATTTTGAATAATAATCAGGATTTAGAAGAATAGAATTAAGCTAAATTTACTTATCTAATATTTTAACTTAGGTTAAGTCAACTCATTCAAGTTACTTGTGATTCCTTGTTTTCTTAAAAACATACTCTGCATTGAAAAATACATATTTAGTAAAGCCTCATAATTTATTGTAGCTTTAGTGTATCTGAATTCTTTTCCTATTCTTATTGTAATCCAGCCTATTCTCTAGTTTTTATATAAGAATGTCTCTGTGGGCATGTATTTTTTCCAGTAACTGAAGAAGTTTGTTCTTAGATATTTTTCTTCTCTGTAAGCAAGCTATTTGTGTAAAGATGCTTATACAATAGAAAGCTATTCAGGTGAAAGAACAGTAATGTTGTAATCGCATGTATTTTCCATGGATACTTGGGAATTGTTTCTGTTACTAATGTCAGACTGAAATTCTGTCTGTCTGTCTGTCTGTCTTTCATTTCTAGCCCACCCTATTAGCCAAAAAGCCTCGCTCTTTGCTGAGCATTAAAATGACAAACCACAGTAAAACTTGTGCTTTTATACCCTTCTGTTCTACTCTGTCATGACAGATGAGAAGATTTCACTTTGCTTTTAGAGTAACCACAGTTTACCAAATAATCTGATGCCCTTGCTGTGGTTAATCATACCTCTGGTTTGTTGAAACAAGCCAGTTTAATAAACTGAATCAGTTTACACAGCACAACAACCCCCACTCAATATTGAATACATTTGGAACCAGAGGCTGCCATTAAAATGTAAATTGTGGTGTTGTGTGAACCCAATTAGTAAACCATGATTAATTAGTGTGGCTATGTTACTGTTAAAAGATGTCTGGGCCATGTTTCAGTAATAACTAATGGTTCAGTGACAACCTGAACTCACACCTGAGTATAGGTTTTGTTCTTGTCTGAACCAAGCCCCTGTGTGGCAACATATGCTGCTGTATGCGTCAGATAATCAATTTGCTAGCTGTACATGAGTTTATGGACTCCATGTACCAAACCTATCTCCAACCTTTCCATGTATTTTTGCAATTATTTCTAAAACATAGTTCCATGCTCCCAGTTGTATTCTTGCCAGCACAACTACCTGCACAGTATTATATTGTGTAACCACTGAATTGAGCTGGAAAGTACTGCTGTTTAATCAGTTGTTCTTGTTCTTATATTTACAATTTGGTGGTTCTTCAGGTTTTTGCCTGGTTTGAATAGTATCTACCTAATGCTCCAACTGCTGCAGCTCCCTCCCCAAAAAGTAAATAAAAATTCAGTTTTGGATTTTCAGTTTTAAATGTTCCTTCCCTCCTTCCTTCCTTCCTTCCTTCCTTCCTTCCTTCCTTCCTTCCTTCCTTCAAACAATCAAATAATGAATGATTTTTAAATAATGAACTGTGTGTGTGTGTGTGTGTGTGTGTGTGTGTGATTTATTTATTTATTTATTTATTTATTTATTAATTAGAACATTTCTATGCGAAATGTGATTTGAGGATAACTGTTGTTTCAAAAGATTTCCTTACTAAATGAACTAATAAGCTATATCACATTAATCTTGGTATTAGTGCTGCCTAGTAGAAATAGCATTGTTGTTCTGGTTTGTTTGATTTTGGTTTTTTAGTATGGGTTTTTGTATAGTTTTGTATAATAAACAACATCATATTGGTAAAATGTCAAGTTTTGTAGTGACAACAGGATGCAGTTGTTTAAATTCCCATTGAACAAGTATCTGTAATGGGCAATTCTGCCTGGTGTATAAGATCTATGCAAGTGAATCTAGATGGGTGAAATTTTTAACCATCTTTCTTTCCTAGTTTTGGATATGGCCAGGCATGTGCCCCTCTACAGAGCGCTCTTAGAGCTCCTTCGAGCTATTGCTTCATGCACATCTATGGTGCCATTGTTACTGCCTTTGTCTGGGGAAAATGGAGAAGAGGAAGAAGAGCAGCTGGAATCTCAAGCTTCAGTTGGAACTCTATTGGCGAAAATGAAAACATGTGTGGATACCTATACTAACCGACTGAGGTATTTCCTTAACCACTTTCCTTACATTTCCAATGTAACTGAAAACTGTTTTCACTGAGATGATAGATCTATATCTGAGCAGAACTACTAATTTCAGATGTGCAGGTCATGTAATTAAACATTTCTTCTTTCAAAATAATTTCCTGCACATAGATCAGACACAGGTTTACCACATCCTTATGAGCTAGGTCTTTATGCAAAGTCTGTCCTATCAAACACAGTTTGTGCTATGTTCTTATTAGCAAATCCAAGGAAAAAGAAAAAAGGCATATTTTCTAAATGAATTTTCTCTTTTGGATGTCCAGAAGTCAGTCTTCAGACCTAAGGACAGCAGCAGACTACGTGTCAGGTACACTGTGTAGGCACTGGATTCAGGATTGGCTGGGGTTATTATAGCAGGGAGCCCAACAAAGAAACAGGCATAGTCCTGAGTGGTGAGGGGAACAAAATTACAGAAAATATACATTATGAAACCCTTTTCTTTGAGTTTTGAACATGAACAAAGATGATGAAGTGAGCTGGGAGTAGTTGAAGAAGAAATGTGTGTGCAGAAGGAGAGGAAGAACAGAGAGGACACAATTGCAAAGATTTGTTGATGGGGAGCAGGTAATAGGAGCTGGAAGATGGGAGACTGTGTGGACTGAGACTGAGGGTCTCTGCCAGACATGAGGAAAGCAGAAGAGAGAGTTTCTCTGTGCAAAAAAATGAACTGTTCTTGTCAGATATACTACAACCACCCAGCTGGTTATTTTGGCTGGTCAACAAACATTTGGGGAATGTTGGCCATGCTAAAAAATGTTGACTGCCAATTCAAAACATAAGTTTTGCCAGAATATACTTGTTATACTGAGGCGGAAATGAATGCATTTAATTTTCATTGTTTGATTAAGTTTTGTTGGTGGATGAGATCCAGTTGTGCTAGATAATCAATGGGATTTACTGCAAGTAAATTAATTAAATTTGGAGGTAGACACCGCAACAGAATTTGTTCTTTTTGTACCACTGTTCTGTGGAATGACCTTCAGATATGAACATTCATATTGGCTTGGGAGATTATTTGAGCAGCCATTTCTAAAGTTTCAGCCTTGTTCCCTCTGTACAGATATAAGGAATTAAAAATAAGCTTATGTAAGTATTTTAACTGAAATCCTCAAACTATTTGCAAACTGAACCTATTTGCAAACTGAACGTCAAACTATTTGCAAACTGAACCTATTTGCAAACTGAACGTCAAACTATTTGCAAACTGAACCAAGCACTTGCAAACTTGAACCAAGATAATTTTATTGTAAGAATGTTCCAGGCACCTCAGAATAGTGTTCCCTATTAGATGAGTTGTTTTAGGGGGATCTGTCACACAGCATGAAAGCAAGAATATGAAATACAACCTATACCTCCTTTCTGGGTGCTAAACATGAAAACTCTTCAACTTATGATCCAGTTCTTGAGTGAATTAAAGTTAAAAGGGGGGGATTCAAATACAAAATAAAATAGGATTAAAAGAAAAAAATCGCCAAGTATTTCTTAACAATTGCAGGACTTTCCCATATTGTTTTTACCAGTTCAGACATAGTATGATCAACACCCTTATGTCAATTCCTGCTGAGTTTTGCCTTGAAATCTGTTGTGACTACTGTTTCCTCTGCAGCAAGCTCCTATTTCCCACTGGGAGAAGTGCCCGGAAAGAGCAGAAAAATGATTCTTTCAAACTCCAAGAAGTCCAAGAGGCTTTCAGTTTTGCCTCTTCCAGGCATTGCTCCCAATGGAAAACAAAAGCTTGCCCCAAAGACCTCTTCAATGATACCCTGCTTCTGTCTGTCTGTCTGTCTGTCCATTTCATTTCATTTCATTTAAAATTTTTACCCATCCTTCCCAATAAAATGTTTCAGGATGGCTTACAATAATTAAAAGCAGAAGAATAATAAAATTACCATCAATAATATACAATAATTAAAACAATAAATAACATTCAAATTTAACAAAACTAAAAAAAGAAAATGCGATACTGAATCTTAAAACATCTAAAATCCTTAATTCTTAAAATAATGGTTAAATAAAAAGGTTTTTACCTGGTGCCAAAAAGAGTATCAAGTGAGTGCCAGGCGAACCTCTCTGGAGAGCATATTCTGGAATCTGGGTGCCACCACAGAGAAGGCCCTCCTCCAGGTAGACACTCTCTTTACCTTCTTCAGGGAGAGTTCTCAGAGTAAGGCCTCTCCTTCAAGGACTTGAAACTTTTGGGGACTCGTGCACATTTGGGAATTTGACAGCCTGTCATTGGAACCACCTCAAAATGAGTGTACTATGAATGAAAGCATCTGCCTACAGCCACCTGCTACCTTTATTTCTGAAGAAGGTCTCCAAGTGCCATGTTTGTCCCAGAGGCATTAATAAGAAAATAAGAATGGAAGCAGGATCTGGCTCTTGCTTTGCTTTGAAGTGATCCCAGACTCCGCTAAGAAATTCTGTTCTAAAATAATAAAAATAGAAAGTAGGTGGGATAGGGTGGGTGCCAAGAAAGGTGTTGTGGCATTGGCCTGATCCAGCATGGCTCTTCTTCCATACCAATGTCCATGTTGCCTAGCCTGTCCTACTTGATATAGTTAAAAATGCTTCATCCAAAAATTGTATGAGAATAGCAAGAATACAAAGAAGCCAGCACATTAAGTATAAATGAAACTGTAAATCTGAACAAAAACAATCAGATACTGTTACCAATATTCCAAAACATGGCTTTCATGTCTACATTAATTATTTTAACATGCCATATAGAACATTCCCATTGTAACCCCAAATGACTGCATTTATGGCTTTTGTAACCTCCTAGCCATGCACAAAGCAAGAAATTTAATCCTGGTAAACATGGGGGCATGCAGAGACTACCATGAGATATACATGTAGATTTTAGATTGCATAAAAATAATCCTGATTTCATAGTTGATGCATCTAGGAAGTGGATGCTGTATTAACACAGTGCTAGTGTTACCAAAATAGTCAGATTCTATAAATCTATTTAGTGACCTCTGGACAACTGTAATAAAGTCATCCTTGTAATCAGCACTGCTGGGATTTTTTAATCACACCACCAAAAAGGCAACTGATATAAACCAAATCAGAAGAATATCTTACGAATACAGTCCTAGTCTCCCTTTACTGAAACAAGTATGACATTAGATCCCAAGGTACAAATTATAAAAGAAACTGTAGATTTCTTTGAATATTTGTTATCTTCATAGCCTACGCTTCTGTTGTTCAGTTATGTTTAGCGAGCTATATGCATTCCCCAGTTTGTCTGGATGGATGAAAGAAATGGAGAGAAAGATAATGAATCAGTTTGTCCATCCCTCCTCACTTCCTCTCATATCCACATGTTCCTACATCTAGCATTCCTTTAAGCCAAATTGTTGATTCTGTGGGTACCAAAATCTGATGCAAAAAAAAAAAAAAAAAATCTTTGTTTAACTGTGCACATACTCCAAGGATGGTTTGAATTTCATTAGTTTCTAAGCCTTTTAGTATTAACATAATTGCTTCTGCATTGAATGTTTTACAGGTTTCTTAACATTTATCTCCTCTTAAATATGCAGAAAACCTGACTATTCATTAATTTCTGAGGAGGTGGGGAAAATGTTTGGAACTACTAAAACATGAAATTATTCGTGCTTACATGTGCAGACAGCTTTTTGCTATGTTGGTATGTGTGATAATGGACAAAAAGAAAGGGCAGGTTGCATATTTGAATATCTGTAACTGCTATTCCTTGAGTGTTCATCTTTGCATTCACATATATGGGTGCTCCAGTTGCACAGTGCCACACTTGGGAAGATTCCTAAGCTAAGCCTAGAATTTTTGGTGGGAGCGCCACCCCCTCTCTGTTATATAAATAGGTGGGCTCTCGCCATTTTCTCAGTCCAACTGGAGACCAACATTTGTCCCTGTCTATGTCTTTAACTATCCTATCGCTATGAGGATAATATATAAAAAGAGAAAGTATCCATCAACATCAGTGCAAGACTGGCAAGTGGGTTGTGTGAATGGACAGATGACCACTCTAAGAACAACAGTTACAGGTATGCAGCCTGCCTTTCTTCATTGTGGTCTTTGTGCATCACACATATGGGTGACTAGTGAGCATACCATTAAAGGAGGTGGGAGGTATCATTATAATGGGAAAGAGAGCCAGGGTTCCCTCCAAAAATTTTAGACTTAGATAGAGGAATCATCCTGAAAGTGGCACTGTGCAGACACAGCACTCATATGTGTGATGTACAGAGAACATGATGAGGAACACTGTTTATGTTAATATATTAAAGCTTTAAAGATGAATCTCTGTGAAATAGTGAAGAAAATCAAACTTACTGAATGTAAAGAATGATACAAAAAGGAATTATATCCAATAATTCCCTAGCAGAAAAATTGTAAGAGTTGGTGTCATGCCACTAGTGGTTACACAACTGCTGGTAGAACACCTGGCACAATTGGCAGAAGTGGCACCAAGCCTAACTAAGTTTTAATGAGTTTCAGAACAGCTTGGACATGTGGAGTTAATGTATTGGATTAGTTACATATAAGATTGAAAACATGATTTCTAACAAGTGGTAGTGGAATGACACCATTGGAGTCAACACAACATTTCTGAAATACTTAAAGGAATCAAGGTGCAGGACAGAATTCATAACATACCCTGCTCAATGGGCTTTCAGTCTAGACAGAAAAATGTGAACATTACATGGACTAGCTCAGCCCTCTCCCCAAGCTTTTGATGACAGCTTTGGATGACAGCTGCGTGCATTCCTGACCATTGGCCATTCTGACTGGCACTGACTGGAGTTGAAAAAAGTAAAATAACTTGCATGTCACTAGTAAAGAATTCCAGAATAAGGAGCAAAGGAGTGAGGGGGGAGATAGCATGAACAAATGAGGTTAAACCATCAAATAGCCAGAAGGACATAAAAATGGAAGAAGAAGAGACTACAAGGAAATCACAAATGAAAAGGTAAGCAGGAGGTAGAGAAAAAAAAAGTGATAAATTTTTTTAAATTGAGTTAGAAAAGAGAGTAGGTAGCCAGTAAAGATGCATCAAAGGGAAAATTACATTTTTAGTGGGGTCGGGGGAGAGAGATGCACTGCTGAATAATATATAAGGAACCACAGGCTTAAAATGGGAATGAAAAAGACCAAGAGAATAAAGAAAACTCTGAAAAGGATAATCAGAAAGAAAACTTAGTTTAGCAACATGACAACTAAAACTAACATACTAATAATGTACAGTATCTTTGACAGATGTATCTCTGAATAATAAGCAGTTGGTTGTGAGCAATAGCAAGATGATAATGCTGAAATTTTAGAAGAAGAAAACAGATCAGAGAAGGTTATTAACCTTATTCATTTGTTGTTCAGACTCAGAAAATGAATCTGTGGTGTTGGCCCCATCCCTGCTGTTGGGCCAACAGCACACGCTTACCATTGCATTCTCCATTCATAGCTTCTAGGCATGGTGAACAATTAAATGGAGTATAAATAACAATATTGTCAACACAGATGTCTTCATTCATATTGAAGATTAAGAGAACTGGAGGTCAAAGGGTATACCTCAGAGCACTGGGCACTATCCAGTGGAGACTGCCTGCAGGCAACCAGCCCAGCCAGTTTTCTTCTATAAGCAGAGCTCACTGCTTATGGAAGAGAAATTTAGCATGTCTGGACACACTACTCATTTCTGGGATAGTACAGGCTGCTAGAGCTCACATGAGGGAACTTTCCATGCTGCCATATTCTGGAAGAGTTTCTGCTTCCTCATGGCTTGTCTCCAAAGCACTAAATTTACTTTCCTGAACTGGTGGGAATCAAGTGAAGAACACAATATGTGGGGCTGTCCATTAGTGGCAGTAGGCCATGCCAGCAAATGAGCAGCATAGGATACTACCCCTTGTGGAAAATCTATAGTTTTCTCAGGTCTTTTTTGGAGCTGATAGCATGAACTCTCCAGCCTGGGCTTCTCTTGTGTCTTCTTTCAGGGCACACAGGTCTTGAGAAGTCCCAGGGAAGGTGTGTGAGGATTTACCACAATTATTCTCTCAGGCCATTTATGGCCACTTCTGGAGCCTAGGCTTCTTTTTCTCTCATTTATTTTATTTATTTTATTCTCTGAACAAGACCAAGTAATCAGATTAGTCTGACACAGGGAACAGAATGAGAATGAATTTCTAAATACTTTCTAATTAAATGCTACCATTTAATACAGATAACTTTGAATCTAACATCTTAACTGAACCTGACATTTCAGTATATAAATTATTCTAGTTTTCTAAAGTTGACTTTATACATAAGCACAGCTTAGAGTCAAAAGGTATTTTAGCATACCAGTACCACTTGTGGGAGTGACAGAAGGACAGAAAGATCATGGGAACTGACATATAAATACAAGACCTATTGCCTTATGCATGTTCCTTTCTCAGAGTTGACCAATTTATCTAAGATTAAGCAGGACTTTGAACCGAAAAAGGTCAGAATTCAATTTTGCTGTATGACATTCACATTTAAGCAAGATTGCTTCTGTGACACATTTTTCATTCTAACCATTCCCTAAACATTAAAAGATATATGCTTCATTGCTGTTGCCTAAAGGCAGGTATGCTTTGATTATCTTTCATAGCAATCAGTAAATATGCACGTCAAAATGTTTGCACTGACTATTTCTTGTGTTCTTTTCAGTTTAATGAAAAGTTTTGTCAAAGTTCTAGTCATTTTGTATTTTGCAGGTCTAAAAAGGATAAGTCTAAAACTGGAGTGAAGTCTGATACTTCAGATCAAGAACCAGAGGGACTGACTCTTTTAGTGCCAGATATCCAAAGGACTGCTGAGATAGTTTATGCTGCTACAACAAGTTTGCGCCAAGCAAACCAAGGTAAATTATCTCAGCAACATTCCTTTTTCATATAGCTGTCTAAAATAGATACTGTAGAAATGGTCTGACTTTAAGATTCTCAGCAAATAAGATACAGAATAGAAATACTGGCAGAAGAACTCCCTGGACCACTGTCTCTGAACCACTGTCTTTGAGAAATCATGGAGGACAGGAAAAGTGCCAGATTACTGGAGAAGGACTAATGTTGTCCCCATCTTTAAGAATGGAAAAAAAATGGAAGAGCCTGCCTGGGAAGTACAGAACAGTCAGTCTGACATCAATCCCTAGGAAAAATTTTGGAGCAATTTATAATGCAAGTCATTCTGCAAATACCTTGAAAACAATGCAGTGATTACTAGAAGCCAACATGGATTTCTCAAGAACAAATCCTGCTAGACTAATTTGATTTCATTTTTTGCTTGGGTAACCTCTCTGATAGACTGTGGGAATTCTTTGGACATAATATATCTTGACTTCAGTAAAGCTTTTGACAAAGTGTCCATGATACTCTGGTTAGCAAACTAGCTTAAAGTGGAGTAGATGGAACAATGATCAGGTGGATCCACAGTTGGCTACAAATTCAGACCCAAAGAGTGCTCATCAATCGCACCTTCCCAAACTGAGGGGAGGTAACAAGTGGGGTACTGCAGGATTCAGTTCTGAGCCCAGTGCTCTTCAATATTTGTATTAATGAGTTGGATGAGAAAGTGCAGAGAACAGTTATCAAATTTGCAGATGACGCAAAACCAGAAGACAGAAGATTTGAGGTAATCTTGATAGGTTGAAGAGCTGTGCTGAAAACAACAGAATAAAATTCCATACGGACAAGTTCTGCATCTAGAAAAAAGAAGCCAAATGCACTGTTACAAGAATGGATTTATTGACTCAACAATTCCACAAATGAAAAGTATATTGGAACTGTGGTAGATCACAAGTTGACTATGAGTCTGCAATGTGATGTAGCTGCAAAAAAGGCTAATGCTCTTTGGGCTGCATTAATAGAAGTATCACTGCCAAATCACATGTTCTTGTTCCCCTCTAGTTGGGCCTCATCAGGAGTGCTACATCCAGTTTTGGGCACCACAGTTTAAGAAAGGTACAGACAATCTGGAAAAGGTTCAGAAAAGGGCAGTGGGATGATCCAGAGACTGGAAGCAAAGCCCTATGAGAATATATTGAAATAAGTGGGCATGTTTAGCCTTGAGAAAAATAAAGGGAGATATAACAACACTCTTCAGGTACTTGAAAGCTGGTCACACAGAGGAAGACCAGGATCTCTTCTTGATTATCCCACAGTGCAGGACACGGAATAATGGGCTCAAGTTACTAGAAGCCAGATTCCAGCTGAACATCATGAAGAACTTCCTGACTGTTAGAGCAATATAACAATGGAACAAGTTACCAAAGGAGCTTGTGGACTCTCATACACTAGAGGCATTCAAGTTGCAGGTGGATAGCCATCTAAGATGAACGATTTAACTTGGAGCCCTGCACTGAGCAAGGGGTTGGACCCAATGGCCTTCTTTGTTCCTTCCAACTCTACTATTTTCTGATTCTATAAAAATAGTGTAAATAGGTTAATTAGGTATTAAGCAGTACTATCTTTAAATGAAAACATGGAGACATAGATTAGAAACTACTGTGCTCCCTAGAGTATTTCAGAACTTCTGTTTTTATTTTAGAAAAATATCAGTGTTTGCAAGGTGTCACACAGTTCCATATAAATTAGCAAAAGATGCACTTTTGTATTTAAAATACAAAAGGCTGTGATTACACCAGTTATAACTAATGTCTGTGTAAACTGGTGACATATCCAAAATAGATATGCACAAACTTCTTTATACTTCATACATATCCATTCACAGGCACACACATGTATTCTGCATACATTTATTTGGTTCTGCCTCCATCTTGGACTACTATGGTTGGTATTTTCCAAGATGTACACAAGAAAATGGGCTGCTATTGACTCAAAATTAATGGAAGCATCAGTCCATAGTGCCTTTGTTTCTCCTTAGAAAACCCCCTCACTAACATTTTGGTTGTAGAACTGGACCTAAACCAAATTACGGTGGATCCTAATTAAGAGTGGTTCAGGGGCAGGTCCACTCTGATTTTGGCCTAGGTGTAAAATTTTCCACATATCAGATTGTGGTAAATATCTTTAGATTCTATAAAATTCTATATTTGAATTGCAATTACATTCATACATGTTTGCCTTCTTAATTACTGCTTTTTTAGCAAATAGAAATTTGTGGGTTTTGACATCTGTTTTCTTTATCCTTTATAACAGAGAGAAAAATGGCTGAATATTCCAGAAAAGCTGCTGTAAAGCCTAAGCCTTTGTCTGTTTTAAGATCCCTTGAGGAAAAATATGTGGTTATAATGAAAAAACTCCAGTTTGGTAAGTTGAAATTTAATCTGTCTATTTTTGTATTGTTGCACTATCTGAGACCTTGGTCATTAAATTCATAGTTCTTCTTAGTGCTCTTTATGCATCACACAAATGGGCTTTCACACCAGCACAGAGCCTAGAATCAGGAAAAGTTTCTTGAAGCTAAACATTCAAGTAGTGTGTGGGTGCCTTCCCCCCAGCTCCTGCTCCCAGGAGGTGGTGGGAGAGGTTCCCACCCATCCCCCCAGTTCCTTTTTGATAGGAATCATCTTCTTCCCCTCTCTCCTACTCATTAAGTACCTGCATTCCTCAAGCAACCTGCCTTTTTCCAGCAAGTTTTTAGGGAAACACCTATGCATATAAAGGGTGAGAGAGGAACTGAAAAGCAGATGAATTAATGAATTGTCATTGATTTGCACAATGCTGTCGTACGAGAGGACAGAGCTCTGCCCTGAGAAACTTACAATCTTAATTCACCATGGGGGAGCCAAAGATGCAAGGAAGGGAACTGGAGGTAGGAGTGGATGGGAAAGAATGTACTGTTACTTCAGACATGCATGCTTGGTTACAGGCTTAGTTACTGTAGTATAAAACATGGGGACCTGTAGGTGGTATATGCAGGTGTTCTTGGAGACAGTTGTAACATATGAGGCATTAAGAGGGAAGGAATAAGAGGGAAGGAATAGGTCTTCTGTTCCTTTTGAGGGAACAGAAGACCTTTAGATAGTGGTAGAAGGTGGAATTGGAGGAGCAAAGATCATGGGGAAGAATATATTTGGATGAAAATGTTTATTAATATTAAATGTTTATCAATATTGCTATTGCATTATTTACTCACCAGTTTTATTGTTATTACATGACAACCCTGCTCAGTTACTGAAAGATTAAGTAGTGGTAATATACCGAGTTACATCTTTCAGTAGTTAAGAAAATATATTCAAGGTAGCATTGTAAAAAGGGGCCCTAGTTCTCATATATTACAGTCTGCTCAGTTAAATTTGTCTGATTCTGAGGAGGGCGCAAAGGTGAGTAGATGATTTTGCAACTTTAAGGTTACTTGGTGAGAACCAATCCACCTTGGGAAAGAAGGGGAGCATTTCAGAGCTTATGGGGGAGGTGATGGAGAAAGAATTCTTTGACCAGTTAAGAGATGACAGGCAAAGTAAGCTGACCAGTTATGAACTGTCTGGCATTCCTGCTGTCTAGCCTTCAACCACTGAGAGTCAAACCAAGTAGAGTCAGAAGCTTTTCAGAAAGGGAGAGAAGGAGGGAAAGTTTCGGTTTGAATTCCACTCTTTACATGGGCAGATGTTTTCCCCACATATCTCAGAGAATGCTACTTTAATTTATACTAGTCTGTACTCTGTTAACTTTAATTAAAAATACCTGTGCTTCTAAAGCTTCATCTGTCTCTGTTGGAGAGAGAAAGAAAGAGGAACAGATCTGCTCCTAAAACAACTCAGGAACAATTCCAAAGAACTCAAAGAACTTTGAACAAAACAGAATGTAGTAGCTGTCATCCCACATCATGGGGTGACTTTAGTACCCCAGACACACATTCCGTACTGTAATTTACACATGAATTCATTTACTAATTCATTTCGTGATTCTTTTTATGACATTGTCATAAAGTGCCTGGTCTAAAATGTCCTTATTTTTCAGCTTCTTATATTTTGCAGATTTTTTTAATAAAAGAAAAAAATAAAGACAAAGTCACCCTGGAAGTTCCAGAAGAATAGCCAGGCAGACTTTGTGATCCCAAACAAAGGCCCCAAGAAAATGCACAGAGCAAGGTTCAATTCAGATTATCTGTATCTTGTTCTAAAACTAAGGATCTAAGCTAAATCCTCCAGCAAACGTAATGAATATCCATTGAGGGAAAGCCATGCTATGACTTTTTAAAGTTAGTATACCAAACCATTGTTATGCAGAGGAAAGTCACTGGGTCTGCTCTTGTTATAGATATCTTTCCAGTTTGCATAGACTCTGGAGGAACTAAACATAAACTAAGTGCTAGCTTATAGCCGAAAGCTGATTTTATGCTGTTTGCAATCTCTTGAGTACAACTTGCAGCCTAAAAAATAAGGTTTTTAGGATTTGTATTTTTATAATGTAAAGCACTTTCTCTTGGGGTTGTAAAATCACCCCAGGAATGAAACATGTTGGGGGTTTTTGAGAGGCAATAATGGATTGTGAACTTCCTTATCTTTTGCAATCAGATTGCTTTCAGACATACTTATCAGTCAATCCACAGATACCAGAGCAAAAGTACAAGTAATTCATCAGATTTTTCATTTCTTTCATTTTCTCTTTTCCACTCATTTTAATATGTTTAATAATTTATTTTAAATTATTATTGATTTTATTGGGATATTAATAATTAGTATGGTTGCCATCTCACATATCATCATCTCATTATATTTTAATTATGTTTTTTAATGTATAGTTGTAATTTTTTGCTTGTTGTATGTTACCTAGATAGTCTTTCTGGACCACTTGCCAGCATATAAATTCAAAAATTAATTAATTCATTCATAAGAGACTCTCATAAACCTAGGTGTGGCAACGACCCCATGGACAACATTCCTCCAGGCCTTCCTGTCCTCCACCATCTCCCAGAGTCCACTTAAGCTCACACCAACTGCTTCAGTGACTCCATCTAGCCACCTCATCCTCTGCCTCCCCTTCTTCTTTTGCCATCTATTGTTCCCAGCATTAGGCTCTTTTCCAGGAAGTCCTTCCTTCTCATTAGGTGTCCAAGTATTTTGAGTTTCATCTTCAATATCTGGCCTTCTAAAGAGCAGTCAAGGTTGATCTCCTCTAGGACTGACCGGTTGGATCACCTTGCAGTCCAAGGGACTCGCAGGAGTCTCCTCCAGCACCACAATTCAAAGGCCTCAATTCTTTGGCACTCAGCCTTCCTTATGGTCCAGCTTTCACAGCCATACATTGCAACTGGGAAAACCATAGCCTTGACTATGTGCACTTTTGTTGGGAGGGTGATGTCTCTGCTTTTTAGTATGCTGTCTAGATTTGCCATAGCTTTCCTCCCTAGGAGCAAGTACCTTTTAATTTCTTGGCTGCAATCCCCGTCTGTGGTGATCTTGGAGCCCAGGAAAATAAAATCTGTCACTACCTCCATTTCTTCCCCATCTATTTGCCGGGAAGTGAGAGGACCGGATGCCATGATCTTAGTTATCTTGATGTTGAGTTTCAAGCCAACTTTTGCGCTCCCCTCCTTCACCCGCATCAAGAGGCTCTTTAGTTCCTCTTCACTTTCTGCCATGAGAGTGGTATCATCTGCATATCTGAGGTTGTTGATCTTTCTCCCAGCAATCTTAATTCCAACTGGTGATTCATCTAGCCCCACCTTTCTCATGATGTGCTCTGCATATAAGTTAAATAGACAGGGCGACAGTATACAGCCTTGCCGAACTCCTTTCTCAATTTTGAACCAATCAGTGGTTCCATGTCCAGTTCTCACTGTTGCTTCTTGACCTGCATATAGGTTTCTAAAGGGACAAATAAGATGGTCTGGTACTCCCATCTCTTTAAGAATTTGCCACAATTTGTTGTGATCCACACAATCAAAGGTTTTAGCATAGTTAATGAAGCAGAAGTAGATGTTATTCTGGAACTCCCTAGCTTTCTTCATGATCCAGCGTATGTTGGCAATTTGATCTCTCGTTCCTCTCCTTCTTCAAAATCCTGCCTGTACTTCTGGTAGTTCTCAGTCCACATACTGCTGGAGCCTAGCTTGTAGGATTTTGAGCATAACTTTGCTAGCATGTGAAATGGGTGCAGTGGTGCCGTAGTTTGAACATTCTTTGGCATTGCCCTTCTTTGGGATCGGAATGTAAACTGACTTTTTCCAATCCTGTGGTCACTGTTGAGTTTTCCAAATTTGCTGGCATATTGAGTGTAGCACTTTTACTGCATTGTCTTTTAGGATTTTGAATAGCTCAGCTGGAATACTGTTGCCTCCACTAGCTTTGTTGTTGCTCAGACTTCCTAAGGCCCATTTGACTTCACATTCCAGGATGTCTGGCTCGAGGTCAGTGACCACCTCATCGTGGTTATCAGGGTTGTTAAGCTCTTCCTTGTATAGTTCCTCTGTATAATCTTGCCACCTCTTCTTAATCTCTTCTGCCTCTCTTAGGTCCCTGCCATTTTGGTCCTTTATCATGCCCATCTTTGCATGAAATGTTCCCTTTATATCTCCAATTTTCTTGAAGATATCTCTGGTCCTCCCTATTCTATTGTTTTCTTCTATTTCTTTGCACTGTTCATTTAAGAAGGCATTCTTATCTCTTCTAGCTATTCTCTGGAATTCTGCATTCAATTGGGTGTATATTTCTCTTTCTCCCTTGCCTTTTGCTTCCCTTCTTTTCTCAGCTATTTGTAAAGCTTCTTCAGACAGCCATTTTTCTTTCTTGCATTTCTTTTTCTTTGGGATGGTTTTAGTTGCTATCTCTTGTACAATGTTGCAAACCTCCGTCCAAAGTTGTTCAGGCACTCTGTCTATCAGATCTAATTCCTTAAATCTATTTGTCACCTCTACTGTATATTAATCAGGGATATGATTTAGGTCATACCTGATTGGTCTAGTGCTTTTCCCTACTTTCTTCAATTTAAGCCTAAATTTTGCAACCAGAAGCTCATGATCTGAGCCACAGTCAGCTCCTGGTCTAGTTTTTACTGACTGTATAGAGCTTCTCCATGTTTGGCTGCAGAGCACATAGTCAATCTGATTTCTGTGTTGACCATCTGGTGATGTCCATGTGTAGAGTCGTCTCTTGGGTTGTTAGAAAAGAGTGTTTGTGATGACCATCGTATTCTCTTGACAAAATTCTACCAGCCTGTGCCCTGCTTCATTTTGTACTCCAAGGCCAAACTTGCCTGTTATTCCAGTTATCTTTTGACTTCCTACTTTAGCATTCCAATTTCCCATGATGATAAGGACATCATTTTTTGGAGTTAATTCTAGAAGGTGTTGTAGGCCTTCATAGAACTGGTCAACTTCAGCCTCTTCAGCATAGACTTGGACTATTGTGATGTTGAATGGTTTGCCTTGGATTCGAACTGAGATCATTCTGTCATTTTGAAGACTGTATCCCAGTACTGCTTTTCCTACTCTTTTATTGACTATGAAGGCTACTCCATTTCTTCTGAGGGATTCTTGCCCTCAGTAGTATACCTGATGGTCATCTGAATTAAATTCATCCATTCCTGTCCTTTTTAGTTCACTGATTCCTAAGATGTCGATGTTCAGTCTTGTCATCTCTTGTTTGACCACATCAAGGCAAGCTGGATGTGGTCAAACCAGGTCGGAAGGTGTCCAATATGCTACTGGGGAAGAGCATCGGACTCTCCTTTCACCACCAGATACATTGGCAACTGAGTGTCCTTTCGGCTTTGACCCAGTCGCTTCATTCTTTCTGGCGCTGCTAGTACTAGCCCTCTGCTCTTCCCCAGTAGCATATTGGACACCTTCCGACCTGAGGAGCTCATCTTCCAGCGTCATATCTTTTTGCCTTTTGGCACTGTCCATGAGGTTTTCATGGCAAAGATACTGGAGTGGGTTGCCATTTCCTTCTCCAGTGGATCACGTTTTGTCAGAGCTCTCTGCTATGACCTGTCCATCTTGGGTGACCCTGCACGGTATAGCTCATAGCTTCATCGCCACAACAAGGCACTGATCCATGAAGGAGTTTTTCAATTTAACAGTTGTTAATATAGTATAGTGGTGTGAAAACTCTTTTTAGTAATTTTCTTCTTTCCTTTTAACAAAACTATCTATCTGCTGAAAGTGTTTGAGTAGAATAGTAAATAAAGTGATGTGTTGAAATTAAGCCAGCACTTGTTTGTAAGCATATCTCAAACTCTGGTGCACAGTTAAGTTGCTTATTTCATACAAACTCCACATAGCTAGCACTTAGAATGTATATACAATTTTTAGAGTGTTCAAATGTTCCAGTACATCTTCTCAGTATTCATTAAATGCTGTTTGGTTTGGGGAGTATATAATTGTTTTGTTATTATATACCATTAAGTTGTGTCTGACTTATGGCAACCCTATGAATGAATGCCCTCCGAAGAGTCTCGTCCTTGACATCCCTGCTCACTTCTTGTAAATGCAAGGCTGTGGCTTCCTTTATGGAATTAATCCATCTCAGAGTTGGGTGGTGACTGCCGCAGCTGCTTCTGACCTTCCCTAACATGGTTGTCTTCTCCACTGAATTTTGTCTTCTCATGATGTGTCTGAAGTATGACAGCTTTGGTTTCATCATTTTTGCTTCCAATTGCACAGCTGCCGCCAACATATTTGTGAGAAGAAATTAATAATGTTTTCATCTTACACAAATACCTAGCAAGTAAATCTGCTTCATTCTGCCAGTGGGAGAGAAGAAAGAATATATTTAGGAGAGTTAGCACAAGCCTTTCACCTTAATGTATGATGTGATAATTTGTCCTCAATGATAGGTTGGTTCTTGTCTAGGGATATTATTTTACTGATTTTTTTGTATTTAGCTTGATAATGGATCAACATATTGTAAGCCATGTCCCAGGTATGAAATACAACCAAGGAATTGTAGGTCTGCAGAATTCCTAGTATTTTTTTTTTACATAGGAGACTTTGAGATCAGTGTGTCTTTTTGTCTTTTACTTTAAAATCTCAAGCTCATATGAGCATTGAAGAAATCCCCCCCCCCCCAAAATCCTTTTTAGTACCAAAATCCATTTTAACAGCTGGACTTTAGTTCTAGGAACACTGACTTTAAAGTAATAAAATATCTCAACTACATGGCAGTACTGAGCTTGTACCAAGATGAAACAGAGAAGTCAATATGAAGACCAGTGCCATTGTCCTCTTGAGTACAGTGCTCTGAAATGACTTGTGGAAAAGAGGTTTATGTACTGTTTATGCTTTTTCAGTAAGTAATTGCATTTTATCCAATTTAACTACATTGTTATTAAATTAAAATGTAACCCTATTTTAGATACTTTTGAGATGGTTTCTGAAGACGACGATGGAAAACTGGTATTTAAAGTAAATTACCACTACATATCTCAGGTGAAAAATGCCAGTGACGCAAACAGTGCTGCAAGAGCCCGACGTCTTGCTCAAGAAGCTGTCACACTCTCTACATCCCTGCCTCTTTCCTCTTCATCAAGTGTCTTTGTCCGCTGTGATGAAGAGAGACTAGACATCATGAAGGTAAAATTTGTTCTGAGAAAACTTGAGGTCTGCAACCTGGTTAATACCAGGCCTGTAAATTTGCCTACAACAGCTCTCATGCCTCCTTTTTACTTATTGTTTTTTATTGTTTATTTTTATTGTGTAGCTTCAAATCAAAGCCGGAACAAAAAGAAAAAAAAGAAAAAAAATAAGACTTTTGAATGGGTGCCCTTAAGTGCAATTTACAAATGGACAAATGTATTACTATTTGGGCTGCCTTGGGTGCCTTGGATAATTTATGTATAATTATCTCTAACAGAAGTATGTTTTGTGAAATATACAACATATATGCATTTATTGTAATAAATCTACTTAAGTTTTATTGAAGAACAGTATAGCATTTCCTTTCACTACTCGATTGACAACTGAGGTTTGGCCCCAACTGCTCTTTGGCTACACATGTGTGTGTTTGTTACTTCATTAATGGAAGATGAGGCTATGTTTTATATCTAATACCAGTTTCAGAATCTCAAGATTTGCACTAGCCTGTTTATAGCAAAACAGTTTGCAGATTCAGGGAATGAAAGGTAGATGTAGGAAGCATGTAAGAAAAAGGAGGTGAAAGAAACTAGAATTCAGTGAGAAATTAGGAGTCTTGGGAAAATCATATAACCAAAGGTATCTGTTTGTGGAAGGAATAGATACGCCAAATAGCATTGGAGGCTGATAGCCTGAGAACAACAGAGCCAGTCAGAAATGCAAAAGAAGGGATATGTATGAAACATGCTAGAAGAAATTTTCATGTGGCCACCTTCAGACCTACCTTGTATAAGACAGTAGCTTCCAAAGCTTCTTGCTATAACTTTTTTTCTTTACTTTTTCATGAAGGTTTTGATAACTGGACCAGCAGACACACCATATGCAAACGGGTGCTTTGAATTTGATGTATATTTTCCACAAGACTATCCTAATTCACCTCCACTTGTGAATCTGGAAACAACTGGAGGACACAGTGTGAGATTCAATCCAAACCTTTACAATGATGGCAAGGTAAATAGGTTGTATTAATATCATCGCAGAGAAATATGGTCAATCTTTCAGTCATCCTGACTGAAGTGTGCATGCATGGTTTAATTTTGGTGGGTAACCATATAAAGTATTGTCATTTTTCATTAATTAACCAGTCTGTTTTACTATATAAAGTCTCTCTCTCTCTCTCTCACTGCTGTCTCTGTTATCTCTATCTCGGTATAGTTCAGTTGCTTGGCAATGCTATGTAAAAGCCTACTGTGAGCTAACTAATGTAAATAGTCATATTCCTAGATCTTTCCATTGAATGGATACAATTATATATGTATGGATATATACATATCTTCCTGCTCTGGTGAGAACTAATCAGGGAGAGAAGAGTTGTCTAAGTTTCATCAAATCTGACAGCACCAAGCACTTGCTGGTCAGAGGAGATGCTCATGAGAGTATATGTGCAGCCCACGGTTGCATGTGGGCATTTCTGGACTGTAAATCTGACACGTGTTTGTGACCATGTACTTTCAAAACCTTTTATCTTTAGGTTTGTTTAAGTATACTTAACACCTGGCATGGAAGACCAGAAGAGAAGTGGAATCCTCAGACATCAAGCTTTTTACAAGTATGTGACTTTTCTTCTTCGGTGCAGAGGTGTGTGTAACAAAAGTTTTGCCTGTGAAAATGGTGCCACATTCCCCAGTATAATTTGAAACAGAAACATAGGACATGATATAAACATCATGCAAGATCTTCAAGTATATCCAACAGAGCTTCTAAAGTCAGTTTCTCCACCACTCCATTTTTTGGGAAGTGCAGTTCCAAAGAATATTGCTGAAAACTGGGGAACCTTTTGCAATGACATGACATGATGCTGTTCAAGGTGCACTTCAAGACATGTACTTGGGAGTCATGGTGTTTTGGTTTGTTGTATACAGTATATTTAAGTATATTTTTGATCTGTTACACTTTCAAGGTAAGAGATTACTATGTGTCCTTAAATGAAATGTTTTTGTCATGTCATGTCCAGGTAATGTTTAAAATAGGTAGAACAGTGGTGAGCAACTTGAGTCCCTCCAGATGTTTTGCCAGTATAGGCAGTGGTGAGGGATTATGGGACTTACGACACTCCAGATGTTTCAGCCAACAAGTTGTTCACCCGTGGCAGAAGTCCCACATCTGTTATAAAACTGAAGAGCTTCCTGTTCGTACAGTGTTATATTGATGACTGATCTGGATTCTGGAAATGTGATGTCCACTGCTTATTATTCCATATTGTATTATTCATGGCTTATATTAATATACACAAAATATCCACCACTGAGTCATGTTCCCTTATTATTAGCCACTGATTCAACTCAGCTGCTACAGTTAGATTCTGTATTAATCTTAATGTGCTTATAATAATCTAATTATATTTAACAAGCACAGCCTTACCAAATAAAATATTTAAGTGAGTTTCTCAAGACCTCAAAAACAAAATATTTATAAAGTAGTCTAGCTTTTTCCTGACCTCATTTTAATATCTATTAATATTTGCAAATTATGGGAGTGTTGTTCGATTTTTGTAGCATTAGTACTAACTGGAAAATAATTTAATGATCATATTGATGAGTGAGTAGGAGGTATTTTGTTATATTTTTTGAATATTATGAGCTCAGTGTAATGGCTTATTGGTAAATGCTTTGGTTTGGAAAATACTGATATACAAAGGCTTCCAAATCTGATCTTGTAGCTGCTTTTGAGTCTCTGTCCTTTGTGGATTAAACTGGACAGTGTTAGCATGATTGAGGGCTCCTGTTGAAAGCCTTTATCATTAATGTCTGATTCTGGAAGAATTCTTAGTTCAGCAAGACCTTGATTATAAACAATAATGTTCCTGTGCTACTCATTTGTCCCTGGTTTTGCATGTCAGAGATTCACAAGTTAAAATAAAGTAATAGATATTTTGTTTGTTAGAGTAAAGGAAATGAATGTGGAGGCTGGTTTGGATCTGAACTTATACTGTATGAACACAGTGAGGTAGCATCTATGGTATGCGGCTTTCATTGCCCCCTTTCCCTTTATAGTTACCTTAACCCCCCCCCCCCAATCTGTTCCTAATCAGTGGGGTACCCTCTGAAATAGAATGGCATGTGACACAGAGGCTGCATCAGTAAGGGGCGATTCTTGAAAATTGTGCCGCCGCCACCACTGCCAATCCAAACTGAATTGCCCTCTGATCCCATACTACCACCTTTGGATCCAAGCCATTAAATGGACAAACAACTCCTGTATCTGAGTTCTTCACTAGCAAACTGGCCAAATTTCTAGTTAAGCTAGAAGGTAAATATTTCACTGAAAGGAGAGCTGAGTAAGTGATTAGACACCAAATTGCTCACGTTCATAGTTCCCTGATTTCTTGACCTTTTTTAGCCTGTTCAGGCCTGTACTGTTTCTAGGTTCATTTGTGTGCAGGTTTAACCTGTATTACTGATATAATATGCTAGACACTTTAGGCTCTTGCTTGTAGTGGAAAGGCAGAGTAGACATTCCAAGACACCTAGATCAATCATATATGACATAAGACACTCTTGCAGAAATGGTGAGATTTTTATATTTGAAGATGTGTTAAAAGCAATTCATTTCCAGTTTTTCTTCTCAAGTGAATTAATATAGTCATGCTTTTCTTTGCAATGGATTCTCAGAAAGATGACAAATCACTATATGCAGATAAATGGAAAATATACTAAATAAGAAACAGTAAATATTTTTTGTATTTGTTTATTTCATTTCTGGAGCTGAAACTGTCTGGGCAATTTATAAGCTTTGAATTAAAAGAATCTTGCATCATTTCTGATCAATAAGTTAATGATTTCAAAAAGTTTTGGCTTTTTTAAACGTCTGAGAAATAAAGATAGTGCTGTGGAAATGAAATACAAGGGTTCTTGAACACCCACTAGACCATGGGTCCTCAAACTATGGCCTGGGGGACAGATCCGGCCTGCCATGGCCTTCCATCTGGCTTGTGCTGCTGTTCCCCACCTGCGTGCAGGGAGCTGGTAGTTCGCTCACTTGGAGATGGTCTCCAAGCAAGCAAGCCGCCGCCGCCTGCCTCCCATACACGCACACTCGGAGATGGTCTCTGAGCGAGCAAGCCACTGCCGCTACCTTCCTCCTGTACGCGCACACTCGGAGATGGTTCCAAGTGAGCAAGCTGCTGCCATTGCCTCACAGCACGGGAAGGGAAGTGGTGGCTCGCTCGCTGGGAGATGGTTTTTGACTCCCTGGGAGATCTCCGAGTGAGCAAGCCACCGCATGCCCAATGGCACCTCATGAGCGCCCAATGGCACCTCTCCGGCCTGCACTCCCAGGCACCCCCACCTCACCAGCCCACACCTTTCAACTGGCCCCCTATTCAAAAAGTTTGAGGACCCTTGCACTAGACACTACCAAAAGGGAGTCACTGTACTGTGCCAGATTGTGTGTCTCAGGCAGCTGGAGATGAAAGGACTGGGTTCTCTTTTGGAAAGGAGGAATCAGGGAAGCCACAATGCACTGAACAGTTACCTAATAATTGTCCATAACTTTCCAGTAAATTTTGGGTTACCCCCAGTCAGGCCATGAAGGATTGGAAGAAATAGTATAAGAACCCTTATATCAATCTCCCTGAGCAAGTTTTAATCTCTCTGTTGTTGAACAGCTTACATTTCTAGAGAATCATCTAATTAGTGTTTGGAAATTGACTGCAAAGCAGAGCACTAATTAAGCAAGATTGTTGTATATGCTTCAGAATGCTAGAATGTTTTACAGATCATTCTCTTGGACATCTGGATAAAATAGCAAGCTTTTTCTATCTTATTCTTCAACTTAGTTGCCGAAAGGTAGAGCAGTGTTCATGCCAGGTGAAGGTTGTTTTTAATCACTTTTGAATGATTTCAGTTGGTAAATGGAGGTTTGGGAGGTTTTGCTTACAAAAACTGATGAAACAAAATAGCATAATAATCCAGTGGTCATGAGCCTATGACTACAAATTAGGGAGAACTGCAAGAACTCTTGTATTTTTTCCCATTATTGTCCCTTTGGATACAATCCAGTGAAAGCTCCAACTGCACTGGATGTTTTTAGAGAAGCTTTGAATTATTGCTAATTTTTCTCTCACCTTTTTTGTTCTGACTGGTTTTGGTTAACAGTTTAAGAAAGTTTATTTCTTAATGTATGTATTCCGATGTATTCTGTAATGAGAAACTCTTTGTAATTTGATTGGAATCTGCTCTTACTTCCCCAGGGATTTGTTTTAAAGCAGTAAGATAATGCTAGTATTTCATGGCCATTAGTTGGAATGCAGCTTTAGGGATTAAAAGATTCTGCTCACTAGTGACTTTGTAGCATCAGAAATGAGACACAAGAATATTGCCAGTATTTTCTGTCAAGTTCTAAAATATAGGAAACTGAAAGTCAAAAAAGGACTTTATATAATTTACATATTTGTGGATAATTTTAATTCATTGCAGAACCTTATTTTAGCTGTAAGACAGGTTTCTCCCAGACTATCATCTGTTGGTCATTTTGTTGTGTGGGACCCAGATGGTTTTTCTTCAGGAAAGAATTTCTGTTTCAAAGGATATGGCATGTACATTGTGCTTTCCCTTGTTTCAAAAAGGTGTACAAGTTTCATAGACACTTACTTTGAATATAAATTATTAGAAGCAGAATAATTATGCATAAGCTTGTTCTCTGCCTACACTGTTTTTGAGATTATTTTGAAAGGTTTTTAAAACTTCTGTAAATTTAGTGTTCCCTGCTGTGTTGCTCAGGGGCAGTTCACACAGTCAACAGTCTAGCATGCTTTATTTAAGCCCTACTGGGTAGCAGTGAGTACTATTTGAATATGCAACTGTTTGAATACGTGGTTCTTTTGAATATGCAACCTTAAAATAAGCCATGGATTCAGCAAAGGTTGTTTAACCTTCACATAACCTATGGCCTATGGTCCTGGACAACTTGGCATGCTGTGGCTGTAGCTTGCAGCTTGCGTATTAATAATGACATTCATAGATAATGCAACTCACTGTGGGTGCTTGCTGCACATAAGCCATGATGGCCCATGGATCTCAAACAGGCTATTCTTTCTCACATTGCATAACCTGTTAACATTTGGTCGGACCATCAATTTACCAGTTGGGTCACTGCAAAGTTTACATACTATTTATTGTCTTGATAAGACCTAATGCTGCTGCTCCATGTATTTCTTCTCACTGACTGCAAATGCTTTGAATTGCATCTTTTCACAGGTATTAGTGTCTGTGCAATCCCTCATATTAGTTGCAGAGCCCTATTTCAATGAACCAGGATATGAAAGATCTAGAGGGACGCCAAGTGGCACACAGAGTTCCAGAGAATATGATGGAAATATACGGCAAGCAACAGTAAAGTGGGCTATGCTTGAACAAATCAGAAATCCCTCACCATGTTTTAAAGAGGTTTGTATTTTGTGCAATAGTTTGCTATATCTGCTTGTGATTCAGCCATTGTAAATAAAGGAATCCTGAAAGATTATTATTGCAATAACATTAAAAGAAACTTAAGAACATGATATAAATGCAAATTTATCATGGCAGTCAGTAAGCACCACAGGTCCAGCATCCTGTTGCTCGTATTGTTCAAACAGACCTTGGCCATTGTTGCTTCCTAGCAAATGCTTCACTGGCTTGCTGCCTCTATACCTAGGGGTTGTATATTATCAATGTAACTAGTTAGAGGCCTTGATAAAGGCATGGCAAAATCACTTTGGAAAATTGAGGATTTTTGCTCTGACTATTTTCTGTAGATCACTGTTGTACATCACTGATAGTAAATAGTATAAGCTGATAATATTAAATTGGCTATTAATTAATATTAATAAATTATTAAAATTCTGTAATTTGTCATTGCTCCTCAGATGAAGGCGGGCTTCCTACAGCCTCTGACAGCCTATTTGTGCTGCAGTTAGGATCAGGAAAGACACAGCAGGACTTTCTCCAGTTCCTTCTTCCTTTTTCCAAATCTCTGTGCAAGTGAAAGAAGACCTCTTCCCTTTCAAGCATTTTAGTGAGTGCAAAAGGCCAAAGGATGGAGGCAGAGTCTTTTGACACTTGCATGGTAGCTTGGAGAAATGTTAGAAATGTAATGGGAAAACCCTGCTTATCCACATCTTCAGGCAAGTGAGAGAAATACCGTCTCTCCTTCAAACACTTTGAGCTTGTTGTAGGGCTCTTGTGAGACATAGAGCTTCCTTTTACTCAGTGTAACAGTTTCAAGAAGTGGAGGAAACAGCAGGAGTTTGTCTTCAGGCATGAAAGGAAGCCCTGATCTTCCCAAAGTTTCAGCACAATGCCAAATGATTGTTGACAAATAGAGGCTGATTTGTTGTAGGTATTTGTGAAGTTCCTCAAATTATTTTCTGGGAAATTCTGAAAACATGTTCTGCAGGATTTGTAGAATCACACGCTATTGGCTTCTGTCTGCTGCATTTAGAAGTCCAAAGTTAAATAGAAAAGAGAGTGTTACTTGAACTGAGTCAAAATGCAGATGAGTTCAGATATCATGCTTACATCTCTGTAACCACTCTTTGGTCAACGTATCTGCTTCCACCCTAAAATACCCAAAACACTGCCTATGACACTAAGACACTACTTAGCAAAAGATTTTTTAAAACCTTACGTCCATCCCATACAGGTTGAGTGAGAGTTCTGTGGCAAGTGGATGATAACGTAAACTATAGTCAATGTAAAGGCTAGTCAGTTGTATACTTTAGCCATAAATTGGATAAATTTGTTGGATCTCTATTTCCAATGATAGTGCTTAACTCCTTTTTTTCCCAGCTGTACAATTGTACACAACAAAAAGTCTCTGGTAAAATCGACAGATTTTAAAATCTACAGTTTTTGTAGCTAGTGGCAATTCATCTAGATTCCCTTTTCAGCATTTTAATTAAGGTGTCTTCTGTGTGTGATTACTTTCTTCCCAGTGATATTTGATACTGCTATAAATTGGCTAATCATGTAGCTAGACAAGAGTTCTGACATTTGTTATAACTTTTCCTTGATGATTTCATGCCTCTAATTGGCTGTAAAGGTGTGCATGTCAAAAATCAAGGTTATTTTCCAGTATGGAATTTAATACCTTGCCCAGCATCCAAGGAAATTAGATTGAGATAGATTAATGCAATAATCATGATATGGACCACCTAGTAATTATGTATTTATTTTTTTTAAAAAACTTGAGACAATTATGCAATATTTCTCACATATGGAAACCTGTTTTTTACATTATCTTATATTAAAGGGTAAGTTAAATTAAGAGAATTTCTGCTCACTGCCAAAAGGACTTTTCCCCCTTTTATTGATAGGTTAGTATTCCACTTCTGGTCATGATACCTTGAGTTGGGCATGCAGTACATTGCCATAGACGAGGAGTGAACTTCAGGAATCCAGGGGCCAATTTTGCCCAGTCTGTTCGCTCTGCTTCTTCAACACCCAAAAATAATAAAGTTTGCAGATGAGATCTGGAGCACCTATAGAGCATCCAAGGGGGGTGGGTGCTCCTACTACCACTGCTGTACTTCTGTCCCACCTTTCTTTCTCCTGGAAAGACCCTGAACCAGCTTACATGGTCCTCCTCCTCTCCTGTTTCTCCTTGCAACAGCCCTGCATGATAGATCATGCTGACAGTTGGTGACTTTCACTCAGTGAGGTTCATGGATGAATGGGGGCTAGGACCCAGATTTTCCAAGCCAGAGACCATCATTCTGACCACTATACCACACTGGCTAAGCTGTGATCTAGTTTTGACCCTTTTGGTGTTCTGCCATGGCAGCAGAGCACTAAAAAGAGTCAGCATTACAGGCAGACAAGCTAATTGAGTATTTCAGTGCCCTGTACCTACTCCATTGGCTACAGAGCACTGTGCAGGAGCGGGAGTGGAAGCCACTTGTAGCCCAGTAGGCAGTGATTATATCCTGTACTGCCTGTCATCCCCTGCAATGGAACTCATATTCTAGAGTTAGTAGAGTTTACATGGAATGAATCTGGCTCTGTTTGGGCAGAGGGCAGTCCAAGAGTGGCAGTAATGCTTTTTGGGAAGGAAGTAATTTAATCCTATTCAGACACTCCTTTGTGATTTCCATCCCTTTACACTTTGCTTGCTGTGTTAGGTGTGACATTGCCCAAGGCATCTGTAATTGCTGGGGCTGGCAATGAGAGCTGAATCATTGATTTTTAAGGAGAGTAATGACGAGCCTCAACATTACACTGAAAATGCCTTTGACCCTTTACTGCACGGCAAGGACAAGCCAGAGCACTGCTTTCTGCTTTTTAAGGCTGTAAAGCACTTAAGACACTCCAATGAGATACATAGTTGGCTCTCATTCTCCCTGTATTATCTGTAGATTCCCCCTTTTAGCTTATTGCCAAATGTGGAAGTGACCTTGGAGGCTTGTATTTGTGGCAAGAATAAATAATACACAGCCCTAGACTTGTCCAGGCCTCACAACTACAAATGCTGTACTAATTTTGTTAGCAGTTGCTCAACTGCTAGTGGAATGCCAGCTCTTGTAAATTTTTCACTGGCATAACACTGAATAGAGATGAAATTATGAAAGGACATCATTGCTCATTATTAGAATGAAGCCTAATGAAGCCATACTAAATGATGCAACATGGTGCAAGTGAAATCCAAGCATTGCATTGACACCTTTACAAAGATTAAAATGTTTTCTGTGAGCAGCAGAAACTTTGCTCTCATGGTTAACTTAGTTGTGTTCTTCAAGGAATTTTACCTGAGTAATAAGGAAAGAGCAAATTTCAAGATAGGTTAATGTGTTTTTAATTAGAGTTGCTATTACTGATGTTTGTATTTGTGTGCTGAAAAGGTACATAGATGTTGGTTTTGGCAAAGCCCCACAATTTTAATTAAGTCAGATTTATTTATAATGATATATCCACCATTAAAAGTGGTAGTAGCCATTTGTGTTTACAATCATGTTCTGTCTTTGCAAAGTCCCTAGATCAGGGGTGGCTAGACTTGCTCAATGGAAGAGCCACATACAGTAAATGTCAGATGTTTGAGAGCCACAAGTGGGCACCTGCGGGCAGTGGTGATGGGCAGCAAAATAAACTCAAAGAACTGCATGCCATTTGTGAGCCTATTTGGCTGAGAACTTTACTGTTAACAATGAAAAAATTGAAATTGTGAACAGTTTTGCATACCTTGACTCAGTAATCAATTCAAATGGAGATTGTAGGCAAAAATTCAAAGACTAAGACTTTGGAGGTGTAGCAATGAAGGAACTAGAAAAGATCATCAAGTATAAGAACATTTCACTGGAGACCAAGGCCAAGATAATCCATGCTATTGTATTCCTGAATGCTATGTATGGGTGTGAAAGCAGGACAGTGAAGAAAGCTGACAGGAAGAAAATGAATGTATTCAAACTATGGTACTGGTGGAGAACTTTACAAATATCCTGGACTGACAGAAAGATGAACAAGTGGGTCCTAGTTCAAATCAAGCCAGAGCTTTCCCTGAAAGCAAAAATGACAACACTGGCGCTCTCATAGTTTGGGCACTTTATGAGAAGGCAAAACTCTTCGGAGAAAACAATCATGCTTCGGAAAGTTGCAGGTAAAAGAAAAGGAAGACTAACAATAAGAAGGATTGACTCCATAAAGGAAGCCACAGCCTGAAATTTACAAGTACTGAACAGGGTTGTCATGGACAAGACAGTTTGGAAGGCTTTCATTCTTAGGCTCTCCATAAGTTGGAGATAACTTGACAGCACATAACAACCACAAAGCAGCTAGATGTACTTTAAGGATGCAGTCCTGTGCAATTTCCTTGGAGTAAATGGCATTGGCCTCAGTAGGGCTTGCATCTGAGTCTCATGGATAGGACTGGTCTACAAATCTACACGAGAACCAAGTTGCAGGTTATACCTGATATTTATGCTCCAGTAGAATAATGCAACTGTCTGTTGTTTGGCAGTTGTTTAGCAGGTTAATATGTTCCAGTAAATGTCTATTTCTTGGTCTTATTTCACCTCTAATCTGTTATTTGCTCTTACAGGTTATACATAAACACTTCTACTTGAAGAGGATAGAGATCATGGCTCAGTGTGAAGAGTGGATAGCAGATATTCAGCAGTATAGCAGTGATAAACGGGTAGGCAGGACTATGTCTCATCATGCTGCAGCTCTAAAGGTAAGTGTGTGCATGCTTGCAATGTCACTGAGACTAACAGTCCATGGTTCTCTTCAATAAAACCTCAGATATGCCCAGTTGCAGCTTAAAGCAAGTAAAGAAAAGAGATTAAAAAAAAAATGTACCGATGGCAATTTGAAGTCAAAAACCATTTGGGTAAAAAAATTTTCTCCACCTTTTCCTCCTCTCACTTTACCTGGTGGCTGTTCTTGTCTTTGAAGCATATCGTAATGCATCAGTTAACTTACATCACTTGTATGTAAAGCACTGTAATTGGTAGCTTTCCAGATCTAAGGTATTTGGAGAAAAGCAGAAGGTCATCTGTGTCAAGACAGAAGCAGTAGCTTGGTGTTTCCTTTGCTCCAGTAGGGTTTAATAGCTGCATTGCAAGTTTCCTTGCCTCTACCAGTCGCGGCCAGTGCCAAGCAGAAGTCTGGAAACTCACAATGTGATGATGTCACATCATATATTTTGCTATGCTAAAAGTTGCAGAGCAATAGGAGGGGGAGACATAGGGCCTGTTGTTTTTGGCACTCACAGTTCAACCATAATAAAAAAAATCCAGGCTTTGATTGTATGTCTAGTTAGATTTTGCCATATTAAATAAACTTCACATCCTACCAACCCTCCTGTCAGACTGCCCACCAAAACAAAAATGTCTTAATACTTGCAAATCTTTGCCTGTGTTGCTTTGTGTGACCTTGGCGTGTGGATGGAACCATGCACAGCACCGTTACCTTAAAAATCCTGTGGTCACCTTGTAATGACAAGACAAAGGGCTGACTCATACAAGCATGTTTATCATTTTCATGTCTTCAGGATCAAGTAATGACTGGCAAATATGAGCCATGCTTGATCAAATCAAAAGATAATTATGTCGTGACAAACAGATGACATACTTGCAGGTGTGAGCCATTCCATGAGTGAAAAAGGTAATCTGCAATGCTTGAGGAGTCCAAGTCAGAAATGACAGTTGCATTTAAAAGCAGGCATGACATCCCTGGAGGGGGCAGAGCAGTAGCAAATGGTGTAACATTCCCCCAAACTAACCCACCCGCATCAGCATGTGGAGCCTTTCCATTTCTATCTTGCTTGTCTAGAAATAACTCTATAGTTCAAAAACAACAATACCAACACCAACATCAAACATTACTAGCTGGGAAATGCAGAAAAGCCCTGGAAATGAAGCTTTGAAAATAGTAATTAAAATGCACATTTATTTTGTGATCAGATCTTAAAAAAAAAAAAAACTAAACTAAACTAACCTTAAAGCCCCACAGCTGTGTAGATTTCTGCATTGCAACTTTGTTGGGTTCCTTGCAAGAGGAAGAAAGGTTGGGGTATAAATGTAGTGTGATGATGATGATCTACCTTCCGTGAGCTGCTGTTATCAAATCTTGCTCTTGTTTTTGGTATGAATGCATAGTTCACTATTCTTATAGTGCAGTCCTTTGTATGTCTGTTGAGAAGTAAGCTCTAATAAGTTCAATGGAACTTACTTCCAGGTAAGTGGAATAGGGTTGTAAGCATAATAATCTTCCTACTGCTTCTTGGTTGAAGCAATGGACAGCAAAAGCTGCTAACTTAAACCACTATGGGCAGTGTTAGTCCACTGATGTTGTTGATGTTGCACTACTGTGAGTAACCTCTGTGATTGCACCTATAGTGTGATCCGGGATGACATGTTTCCCCCAAGAGCTTGTTGCACTAAAATTTGCTTCAGCCAGCAGTATGTCAGTAGTGTAAGTCAACCAGCAGTGCTGGATCCTGCACCATATGAAGATTGTATTTTTTTTATGGTAAATGGTTCTCACCAAAGTCTCATCATATGAATTCCCAAACTCTACTGTGAAAGAAAACTTTCCCTTACTGTTCATTTGTACATGTGCAGCGTCACACAGCTCAGTTGCGGGAAGAGCTTCAGAAACTCCCTTGCCCTGAAGGCCTGGACCCAGATGTGGATGATTCAGCTGAGAAATGCAGTGCCATGACAAGTGCTGAAGAGGCTCTGTTGCACGAGCAGGTCAAGCCAAGCAGCAGTAAAGACCTCCCAAGTGACTTCAAATTATGAGCTGCGTTGACATGGACTTGATAGACACACAAGGCTTTCAAGCACAAGCCAAATATGTCAATATTTGTATCTAAGAAGCTAATTATGTAATAGGTAATGAGATTGAAACTATACTATGCCCTTCAGGATATACAGTTTAATTCAAGATGATCTTTTATTTACCTGTACAAGAGTGTAAACTTTTTGTGCTTTTATTTTCCAATTGTGAGAACCACTGATTGGTATGTTTAAAAAGTTATGTATACAAGAATGGATAAATCACTGATATATAAGGGAAGCTACCTTAGGAAAGAATGTTTACTGAATGTTTATTATTTTTTTTTTTACTTGTAGAGTGAGGGCGGTTGTAACAAAGAATATATATTGGTCATTCTTACAGCTACTATTTAAAGTCGGACAGTTTTCACTGAATTTGATAGATTTTATGTTTGGCCATATCTCCATTCTCATATTTGATTTCTAAAGAGAACCTCCTGTATACTTCAATAAAGGTCAAATGGACATGCTCCCTCTTATGATTTACTGGTACCTTTTTTAACTAATCTGCCATAAATTCATTATAGTTGGAGACTTGCACTTGTATGACTGAATTTATTACAGTCAACATATTTAATTTTATGCTTAACTAATTCTAAAATGCGGATGAAATAAATGCACATGGTTTTACCTCAGCCAACATGTGGACTGCTGAATTCATCTTTCCCTGCTTTTTGTTAACAGCTGGGTGATTTCCACTCAAGAATAGCAGAAGAACAATTTAAATATTTTCAAGTAAGGACATTTATTTAGGTGTCTTTGGGCACTTCCTTATGATTGATTAACATCTAATAATATATAATAGTTAACATGTATATCTATTTTGGCTATATATGTAGTTTTTAGAATGGTGTTTCACTTAATTTTTCAGTTGCTGCATGAAATAGAACTGAAGAACTTTGAAGTTTTTTTGCCTGATTCTAAGTATGGTTTCCAACCTGGGTTATTGTCTCCAAGTCAAGAAAAAAGTAGCAGTTGGGTAGTCTCCATTATTCCAAGCATTTAATTTGGGGTGTTTACTTGCTACTCAGATTCAAGCCTTTTAGCTTTTCTCTCCCACATCTATCCAGATGTCAGCTGTCTTGGTAGGAACTTTGGAAACTGCCTCCCTTGCCATGCGAGATTACAGTTTTGCTGTGAAACATTTAGATACACACAGCCTCTCTGCAGATGTATGAACAGATGGCTTATAGCTAGTGTAGCTTCAACAAGAGCTCCATATGTGTAACACTTGACGAGATGAAAGGAAGCTTATATTTGTAAATAAGACAAGGACATAGCATTCCTTACTAGTGTTGCATTGTGATTAGGGCACATATGCTTTACAAAACTTAGGATCGGGATGGTGGTAGCAATAGCATCAGTGAGACCTTCTCTCCCCCTCAACCCCATTCTTAGTTCTTTCTCATGCATTCACAAAACAGTGTACAGTAAGTGATTGCCACACTTTCAAATAGCTCGCAGCCACTGCTCAAGAGCACCACTTGATTCAGGACAAGCTCTTTCCAGTACTTATGTGGTAGGAGAAAGCTAGAGTTGTGTATTTTTTACATGTCTGAAAACTGTTGTCCCTTTTCCCTCCCACCCACCCACCTTTTGGTTTTCCCTTCATGTGAGCTCTGTAATGGTGTCATTAAGTCAGTTCAATGAGGGCAATACTTCTTGCCTTCACTCTGACATGAATTTGTTACATTCACAATATGATCCACAGTGGAAGAGAAAGCAACATTGGGGAAGTAAGCCACTCAAGGCCAATGAACAAAGGCAATCAGACCATGTGGTATAGGAGTTGATCTAAGCCTTTTGACCACTGTCACAGAGTACAGGATTCTGCAACACTAATGTATCTACCAATGCAGTATAAAGTCCAATAGAAAGCTCTCCTTTTCCCTGATAGGTATGGTACATGTGAGCTTATATAAGATGCTATTGCACTATGTTGGGGAAAGTGCAAGATGCAAGATACTGCCCCATGCGGAGTTCCTTTACTGTTGCTTGTCATTGGTGCAAGGCCACAAGGTATATTGTGCTGGCAGTGGGACTTTTCCATCCTATGCTGGATGCTGTTACATTGTTTTACTTCAATGTTAATGTCTAATTATTAAGAATGACATCACTTAATAAGCCCTAGGCTGAAGTCTGGCAAGCATATCGAACACATGTATCTGTTTAAAAAAATCAAAATTAAATTACAAACCTTTCAAAAGGGCTTGCATTGGTCTGAATGTGAAAATTGATTAGGTATTATTTATTATTTTATTAGGTAGGCCTGTCTCTGCTACCCCTTGAGATGCCTATGTTAAGCACAGTATACAATGCTCTTGCTGAGCTCCAGAATTAGAATTAGTCTAGAGTCAACTGTTTTGACTGCTGCTAATGTTCACTACAAAGAGCCTTGAAACAGAAGCAAATGGAGGAGGTTGCAGGACACTGCTTCCTGTGGTTACCTCTCAGTAGGAGATACATGTGTAGAGACTTGTGGCCACTCAATTGCAGAACTGGGAACCTTGAGTGTCACCCAGACAGACCTATAAATCACTGCTGATGAGGAAGAAGAAGGAATATGTAGACAGGAGTCCTATTCACCAAGCATTGCAAAACACATCACAGCTTTGCCCATTGATGAATGCAGAGAATAAATGTTTAGCACAGCATCACAGATTGGGAAGCTGTAGTATATGGAAGAAAAGGGAAGAAAACATCATTGTGTAGATGTTTCTGGAAAAACATGTACTTGCTCTCAATATTCCTTGATCTACTAGAAAATAATTCCTTGTATACGTTCTGAAAGAATGAAGCCCCAGCTGATGCAGCATCTCAGTGACAAAAGTACAAGTAAACTGTTGGACAGAAAGGTTACACAAGTTAAGCACTTGTGTAATGAAAAGGTAAGTATTCCCCCGCTATTGAATTATTGGCTGAAACTGAAAGGAGGACACAGCAAAGGGCACTGCATGTTAGGTGCTAAGTCCCAGAGGACTATTCCCATAGAAATGTACTGCGCAGGAGCTGTATCCTCAGGGAGGTAAGTCTGTAAAAACGTAACAGTTCTTGGAACTCTGCTCTGAACCAGGGAAGTCTTGAGTGGCTGCAGTAAACCTGAACCAGACTCATCTAATTTGGGAAATAGTAAAATCTAATATTAAGAAATGTCACAGTGCAGAGCTAGTTGTAAAAAAATCAGCTTAGAAACAAGAAAAGCATACTTAGCTTCAGTTTAGGCTCACTAAGTTTTAAGTACCACTTTATAAGTTAAACAGTAAATGTAGACCTCAGATTTTTTTTAAAAACCTCATTTTTTAAAACCAGAGTGCAAGGGCACAATGAAGCAGGTGTGTGAGTCAGTTCTTCAGGGGAATGGGTTCAAATTGCCCACATGCTCTCTTTAAAACTATTCATTGTCCACGTTCCTGAAAAAAACTTTTCTCAGAAGAGGGTCATCTACTTGCATTTTTACTGACTGAAGCCATGTGCAGCCCAGAAGTCATCCACACCCCTATGTTTTATAAAACAAAGCCCTCCTGATCTAACTGGTAGAAGCATATGTTGGAAGAAGTAAACTAGTAAGAGGAATCCCACAGCAAGCCAACACTAAATAACTAAAACAAGACTGTTTCACTGAATCAGGTCCCAAAGGTAATTTAGTACTAGCAGTGTGTGATTGCTCCCATGAAATAGTGAAATCATGAAGACTTCCAAAGGAGAAAGTATTATATGGATGAAGAATGCCAGAGAGGGTTCAACATTTCACTTTGTGTATGCTCAGAGACTTGCATTTAAAATAAAGATGTTTTGCAAAGAAATGTTGGTGAGGCTGATACTGCTGGGAGGGAGAAGAACAGCTCATGGCATATATAGGCACAGTATTCATGTATGTGTGCAAATCCCTGGTTATTTTGATGGCTAATTCTTACATGCAAACTGTCATTGTTTACTTGGACATTTTAAATGCTTTTGATGCTGCCTTTCCCCACACTTGTGTGTAAAATTTAGCATTTATATGATAAAGCAATTGGTCGTCTCATGGCCAGCTAAAGAACAGGCCAGTTCATAGTGGAGAGACACAAAAGCCTTCTTCATATCAAAGATAGGCAAACAATTTTATAAAATACTCTGTGGTAGCTCTTAAAGCATGTCTCTCTTGAAGCCTCAGCTTTTGTGTAACCTCAGCGCTTGAACATGCTAGTATGTATTTCAAATGCATACTAGTCATTGATTAGGAATTTTGATTTTTGTCCAAATTCCCAATTATATTTGTCAAGCGTTTTCACTATAAAATACTTAATATGGAGAATGCTTCATTAATAGTAGTATTGTTCTTCATGGTCCCTGTGCATCTCACATGAGGGGCCCTGCCTGCATGGAGCCTGTTGTAGGGCAGATTTCATAGCTGAGAGCATTTTGGCGGGATCCCCTCCCCCACCCAGTGCTCAGAATATGTTGGAGGCATTCCACCCATTCCCTCAGTTCTTGCCCTGTGGTGCCTTAGGAAGTTCTTTTTCCTTTCTTTTTGTTTCTGTGGAGCATCTTTTTTCTGTTTCTAAACCATTGCCCTTCATCTGTTAATTTCTACTTTCCTTTCACCTATGCCTGAGGGACATTCATTTTGCTTATTTGCCTAGAGCATACATCTGAAACAAGTATGAATACATGAGGCAAATTGCCTCATCACCCTGGATTAAGGCACAAGCTGTCTAAAACAACCCCCAAGCTGGCTAATGAAGCCAAGGAGCCCATGCTTCCTGCAGCAGTGACCCTAAACATGGGCTAATCTGCATTGCTGAGTTGGCTAGGAAAGTGGAGGAGCCTGCGCCACCTCCAGCTCTGGCCCTAACCATGGCTGAAATTGGCTGAAAGTCAAGGAGTTGGCAACAAGCAAGGCTTGAAGGAGCAAGAAGACTCTTTCAGTGGCAGGCCTGACCCACACTGTGTGGTGGCAGTTGCCAGCACGGCTGGCTGGCTGGCGCGCTGGTTCCAAGGGCTTCAGGTTGTTTTGTCCCCTCCCCCTGCAGTCCTCAGGACCAGGATGGGCACTGCTGATGCAGCACCATGATGGTGTCATCGTGAACTGCAGACTACACTTCTTCTCCCTCAGATTTGAGCCTCACTGGCTTTTATGAGGGCTAAAGAACTCCACCAACTCATTCTTTAACACCTATTTAGCGCCTCTCCATTGTCTTACAAAACCTTACAAGAAAAGTGCTTGAACCCATGGTCACAGTTGACCTTCACCTACTATCCTAGAAGGTCCAGGTCCAAAGCATACCATCGTTTTCAAAGACTCTTTATCTGTTGTGGTCACAAACCCAAAGGATATCCTCCCACCAACCCAGTCACCTCAGAGCCTAGTAATTTGGGTGGTGAGGATAATTTCTGTGGTTTATGACCTACCTGGTCTACAGTATTCAGTACCATGAAAGGCACAGTATTTGCAAGCAATGGTGAAGTGGACTTCACTGCACACCATGAGTCCTCTAAC